CTTTCTCCTAGATTTGTCGCATAGGACGATCCTGAGAATAAGGCATTAAAAAACCGGTGACTATGACTCTGCTACGTAAAATGCTATTTATCCAATAATTTATATAAATCAGTATAGGTTTAAGAGTTGACGAGGGAACTATCTTAAGGTATTAAAAGTTAAAACTTTAGACAGAAGTTGATTGACCTTGTTTTCGCAACTTGGTCATATTGGTAGGAAGACTTAGAGGAACGCACCTAATCCGGAGTCCATTGTATGCTTCATCATTTCCAGAGTAGGACCGTGGACGTGGTACACTCCAAGACGGGTCGCCGGCATTGTAGTCGGCGTCGTCAATGAGTCTTGCCATACGTAGCACCATATTACAACTCGTCAAAGAGACAAGTGAAGCCCATCCTTTGACAAAACATGTGCTAAACAGTTCCTCTTTCTATCTATAATATCAAGTCTATGATTTACTATTCCCTAGTCTCTTCTGTGTCAACCCACAAACGTTGTGGTTCAAAAGTAATCCTAATCAAAGCCAGCAGTACCACAACATTTGTGGGTTGGCAAACAAGCAACTAGGGCATGGCAAGTCATAGACTTGGTATTAGGGATAGACAAGGCGGCGATTGGAGCTAGTTGGCTGACAGCAGGTTTTACATGGTCCATGTAGCAAAGGCATGACCGTGAGACTTGCTCTGAGGCTTTAGCCTCTAATCAATCCCCCAGGTTCAGAGGATGGACAAATTACGCCTCGAATAGCGCAGATTGGGGGGACAGGGTTCGAGTGAAATACATGTACCAGGGAGATAGCAGACGGATTCGATGGTGCAAGAGGGAGACTTTGATAAGACCCAAGGAAGGACCACGTAACAAAATGATAGACTCTGGTCAACATTCCCAGCAGAAGGCTTAAGGGGGTGATAACGACAGTGGGGAGTGTGAAGGTTTTTAATGAATGCCACTGGAAGGAGTACACCACACAACATTAAAAATAAACACGGTAAAAATTTTTACTGTGAAGGAATGATAGGATGTTATAGGAAATGTGAATAGCCCAGGGCAGAAGGGGAGATACCACAACTGT